CACTGTCCGTTCTCTTTCTCTATAACATCTACTGGCACAGACATCTGAACGCTCGGCTACTGTTTCTCCCCTCCCCCCCCGCTTTTTTTTTTTTGCCTTGATATTTCCCTTTGGCTGTCTTATACCTTCCCTTCTTAAAACCAAACTATTTCAGAATGCTTGTTGTCATCTTCCACCTGCTGTGGTGTAATCTCGTAACAGGTAGTACACACAACTTTGTTCTGTGCAATTTCGCTTGCAGCTTTTATAGGTGTCCCTTACTCATTTTAAGGGAAACTGCTGTAACCAGTCTCCCACATAATGCGGATCATAAAGTTTTACCCAGCTCTCTATGCATCAAGTCCTCACTCACCTGTTTGAGATGTAACCTTCATCTTGGCAAAACATGCCTTTTGCCATGATGGAGTGAGTACTAATAATAGTGGATCTACTTTACTCTTTGTGGTGACAGTGGTACGTTCCAGCTCTTCATTAATACTCTCATCTTCCCCTCTGAGTAGTTACAACTCAAGCAGGAAGAAAAGAAAAAAAAATCTCAATGACTCTATTAATGTTTTGTCCTCCTCTCTCTAGCTGCTAAAGCATTTCTGTATGGCAAACTGTTCATAAGACAGTTAAGGGGAAAGCAACTTACGGAGCATTGTGTATCTACAAACTCATAAGACATATCATGATCAACCATGTTGAAAGATGTATAGATTTAAGGAAATGTTTTTGTATGAGTTTTAATCTCTTTTGGTACCCTGGTGAGGAAAGGGGAGGGTCAGTTGGATGAAGCAGGTGACAGGTTTTGGGGGAAGGTAACATCACAGTAGAAATAGGAGAGTAGCTGTCCTCAAGCATGAGTTGATGTATCACTTCAAAGTTTGGCAGACTTACACATTTGGGTTGGTTTTTTTGGCCAGAATATCCAAAGTTACCACTACTTCCACAAGTTTTCAACCACTGTCTTACTGATGAGAGAGTGAGATAAAATTGATGGTAATCTCACCAAAGTTATGGAATAAATATCCCCTTTTAACTGTTACAGCAGCTACTATGTAATTCCCCATCCCCTCCACAGAAAAAAAAAAAAAATCTTCCTCCTCTTGAACACTGTATTTTCTTATATAGAACTTTCATTATGGATTATGGTGGATTTTTTTTTTCTTTTCTCCCAAGTACAAGGACAAATCATTGAAATACTTCAGCTGCATGCTGCTACTTAACTTCTAGGAAACTTAGATGCTGTATTTTCCTGCAAATAAAGTAACATAGCATTGAGCATGTGGTGTTATGCATATCCATTGCCATTAGTTTCAAAAGTTTCCCCTCGGTACATGTAGAAATGCAAAACAGTCTATATTGCTTTGAAGAGTTGGTTTTATGTTGTTCCTTTTTTCCTAATAGAAAAGATTTAAATAAAATTTGGAGATACATGGTCCAGGGTTCAAAGTATATATGCTCCCTGCCCAAATTCTGGCACATGGCCTCCTTGTCCTCTGTCTGAGGGAGATAGGTTTCACTCCATCCTTCATACTATGCTTCAGGGAAAGTTAAATAAAAGGATTCCCCTTTCAGGATTTATATGTCTCATTAGTGTCATGAAAGCTTTAATTTGGGAGATAGGCAAAGTAAGTTTAATATGTTTTGTAAGGTGCTTTGTTAACACAGTGATAGACATGCCCCGCTACAGTGGGCTTGCCCTGTAAATGGGCAAGATGGACAGACGGAAGAAAGAGAAACGGAAACATAGAGGTACAACAACTTGGTGAAGTTTGCACAGCCTGTCTGGTGACTGCGCTGGTTCCTAGCCCTGCCTATAGCTTGTGTTGCCTCCTGAGGAAGCATTGGCCCCAGTACGCAGGTGCTCCTAAATAGGAAACTGGAAAACCAAATAATTCTGCAGATGCTGTTCTGTCTTCTCAAAGTATTTTTGGAATGGTGTGTGTCTGAGGTAGAAAGTGTTCTGAAGGCAAGGCTACTGTTCTGCAGACATGCTTCTATTTATGCCCTTGGCCTTCCTGATATACAGGTGTTCATGGACCTTCTACTCTGTTAAGAGATGGGTCCTAATAAAGCATATCCATTACTATTATTTTACTGGACTATTCCCCAAAAGCTTTAAAGACACTGGTATGGAGGAACATCAGAAGCCCATGCAATCCATTAACATGCAAGCTGTTGCTGCAGGATCACAGAATGGTCAGGGTTGGAAGGGACCTCTGGAGATCATCTAGTTCAACCCCCCTACCTGAGGATGTACACCTACAGCAGGTTGCACAGGATGGCATCCAGGTGGATTTTGAATGTCTCCAGAGTGGGAGACTCTACAGCCTCTCTGGACAGCCTCTTCCAGTGCTCTGCCACCTTCACAGTAAAGAAGTCCCCCTTCATGTTTAGATGGAACTTCCTATGTTCAAGTTTGTGCCCATTACCCCTTGTCCTATCACTGAGCACCACTGAAAAAAGAGAGGTCCCATCCCCCTGGCACCCTCCCTTTAAGTACTTATAAGCATTGATAAGATCCCCCCCCTCAGTCTTCTTTTCTCCAGACTAAAAAGACCCAAATCCCTGAGCCTTTCCTCGTAAGAGAGATGCTCCAGTCCCCTAATCATCTTTGTAGCCCTATGTATTTGTATTTTCTCATATGTTCTGACAGTCAGGACCTCAGTTTAAAAAAAAAAAAAAAAAAAAGGGAAGCTTGCTAGAAGAGGGACACCTGATATGAAGAATCTTTAGCTTTCTTGGAGTATATAAGGACATACATAGATAGTGTGGTATTTAGATCAAGGTGACTCCCTTCTCTGAGTGCCATGTGGGTAGTGTTAGTACTGTACAGATTATAAATGCATAAAATAAGGAAAGATAAAAGGCACAAGTGTAGTGATTTTTGTAAGAGTAACTTAACAGATGTAGATAACGTGACGCTTGTAATTTCATGCTGGAGAGCAAGTTACCAAGGCAATTGGAGTATTTTCTTGCTTTAGCAAATCTTTTTATTACACTGTGACTTTTAAAAACTTAAGGTAGTTCATTTTTAGACATTTCTAGTAAATTCCGTGGTGGAAAATAAACTTTTTGGACAATTTATCCCATGACAAATTGTAGCACAAATTCATGCATTGGAATGACAAGAACAGTTACGAAATATTTTTCAAAAAGTTAGTAAGAAGCCTTAGCCTAATTTTTCACTTAGGACAAAACTCATACTTGCGAAGTCTTTGAAAATAAGAGCTTTTCCAGAAAGATCAGCGTGGGATGTTGAGAAGGTAGAAATCACCCTGCTGGTGGATATAATTATTGAGCTGATCGCCGCTGTGCTACATCGTGCCATAAAACTCACTAGGTGGAGCTCTAAGGTACCAGGTAATCCCTCCGGGGACCTACATGGAAGAAACGCTCAGTGTATCCATGGGAAGACTCGAGCATGGCATTCTCAACCGCACCTCGGCGCAGTCACACAAAAATAAGGGGCTGGAATTAAAATAATAATACCCCTGCCCCACCCCGAAGGATTAAGGACGGGAATGCCCAAAGCAGAGGTGTAAACACTCGGAAAGCAAACAGCTTGTGCGCCGCACACTAGTTATTTAGTTTTATGAAGGAAGAAGATAGTGGCGTGTACTTTTACTGGGCTGAGCAATTTTGTTGTTGTTTCTTTCCCATCTCTTCAGGCTTAAAGATACTGTCTGGGCAAGCGTATTGTACTGAAACATGCATACATTTGGGAGGAACTTGACAAAAAGAGGCATCTAAGGCTCTGGCAGGCTGTATTTATTATCTGGATGACAAGTGGATGTCGCACACAACAATGTGCTAATTCCCTCGCTGGGGAATTAGGGGGACTTAGAACCTAAAGTTGAAAAGTGTTTCAGTCGGTGGGGGGGGGTCTATGAGAAAAACAAGGTGTGAAGCAAATAGGGGTGCAAAATCGTAACAAGGCAGGCATGTCTTGCAAGCTGTTTTGGTCCTTTAAAAACAATGTGTCTGGAAGACCTCGGGGTGACAAAATTTCCCTCCGAGGGGGTTAAATTTCTTATGTTTGGATTTAAAACCGAAGGGTTTTCTCCTTCGGGGTGGTGGTGACAATGGCACTCATAAGCGCATGTCTGCAAGCAGGGGCAGTTACAGCCTCCCTGATGATTTGGGGGACAGCGTCTCGCCCGGGCCGGGCCGGGGCCACAGGGGTCACCTGCGGCGGCGCGGTGACTGGATGGCAGCGGGGCTCGGAGGAGCAAGGCTCTGGGAAAGGCTGCCCGGGGTGGCCGGCGGGAGAGGGGAAACCGCCTCCGCGGCAGAGCCCGCAAAACGGGCTGGTAATGACCCGAGGCGAGTGGGAACGGCAGCGGTCGGAGTTAGGCGAGGCTAAGAGGAAAGCGGGGGGGTGTCACACACACACAAAAAAGTTTTCTTTTAGCCTGAGCCCAGGAAGGCGGGGGGGGGAGGAATCCCTCTCAGCGGTTGTCAAGGAGATGGGCGGCCGGGTTCGCCGGCCTGCC